AGATATGTTTTTATCAAAGCGAGAATTGGCATTTAGAGGGCATATGGAATATGTTGGATCTAATAACAGAGGTAATTATATTGAACTTGTTTATTTATTAAATACGTCAGATAAATAATCTATTAAAAATACATTTAAAGAAAGAATTAACTGATTGCCCCTGGAAGTCGGCTTCTTATAGAAACACAGCTTCCCTATCATCAAATGTTACGGCACGCCATTGCCCCAATTTTATCTACCTTTGTAATTTAGTTAAGCTGCTGGAGACCGCTTTAAGCAATTTCCGGTTTGGTGGGTACGCTTGTATAACTCAGCTACTCATAATCCGCGCATTCTTTTATTCAGCAGTGCGCTGAGCAGTTTCTTCATGAAATGCCGTTTTTACTGCTGACGGTTGAAAACACTTGCTGGAGAAAGAGCTATCTCAAAATGGCTGATATAAACAATGATTTTCTTTCTGCTACATTTACACGCGTTTGTTCAATATTATTAGAAGAAAAACCATTAAGTTCGATGTTGTTTATAAGAAAACGAGAAAATGATTTGTTTATGGCATTGGCGATGACTGATTCCCAACAACGAGGAAAGTGTGCAAAACTCGTTGGTTATGTTCACGTTATCGTACTGGAGTATTCGAATGAAATCTTTAAAAGCCATTTTCGTATGTCAAGATTAAAAATTTGCTCATTTAAAACAGCAAAAAACTGATTATTATTTGGTAGTCGAAAAAGATACTTTCTCATGGAGGCGTCCATCTTGTAAGCACTATTTTTAGCGTGGTCGAGAGGTGCTGCTAGTGCGCTGAAAGCGCACCTTAAGCGCGCTGACAGTAGGCTTAATAATTGAACACATGCGCTAAAAGTGCTGAATGAAAGAATGCGCGGAATTGTTATTTGGCTCTTTGTATAAGTTATTCATTTTTAGTTTTACTGTACTAATAAAATAGGGAAACAGTGCACACGTTCACATAGAAAACAGAAATGAAATACCAAATGAACGCACCAGGAAAGCCTGACGTTAACAAAAATAGCTGCCATTGTTCTGTTCGTTAAACGGTGTAGGCGAACTCACTGAGTCACGTTTGGGTTTTACCTCGTAAAAATCACGATTTTGGCTGAAAAACTACTTTGAAAATTTAGGGGTTTCAGTCTTCTCCAAACTTTTTCGACAGTCGACCCTTTTAAGAATTTCTCAACCTTTCATGGACACCCTCTATTTTACCGTTAAGCTACGTAATTATAATAGGACAAGCAACCAAGACGCTTATTGGGTTGCAATTAGAAAAAACTGAATAATGTAAATTGCGTCAGTCTTTTCCTTATCTCGAGACCGGAGTTAAATATATGAAAGACGAGACCAGATACGGAAACTTTAGGGGGCAGCAGGAGACCCCGACTATGTACTATGTAAGAACTTCCGACTCAAACCGGAAGTCACGTTATTTCAATTGAAAAATTTACCCCTTAAAGGAGTTAGATAGATGACCGGCACGACTCTATTGAAAAATTGCAGCCGGGGATCGTAATGATGTGACAATAAAAGAATTGTTCGTGTGATTTTTAGATTTTTTATTAGTTATATTACATATATCTTGCCAGATGCATTATAATAAGTCTTATTAAGTTAGTAAAATTGGCTGACATTGTCAATGTGAGAGGTGGTTATTAATTAACTTTTTTCCATCGATGCCTGTCAATGTTATATCGAGCGCTTTGAGAAGATCTGGTTTAAAGTGTATTTAGCGTGGAATGGGATGGGAAGAAGGACGAAAACCGATATTCTAGGCGCGAATTGGATACGAATATGCATAAGTGATGCTGTGAAGATTTAGAATTAAATAGAATTTGTATATAGTCGCTGGATACTAAGCAGGTAGAGAGAGAGCGACTGTCATACTGTCATCGCGAAAATCTTGCGTTGCGGTAAATTTCAGGCCGCAGTCTTTTAATAAACTCATTTTTATTTACAATGTTTATCTCACGAAAAATGAATGATATCTGTAAGATACACAAAATTATAACTTTTGTACAGGATAATAGCCTAAACTTGATTTAAAATCAAGCATAATTTTATAGTACTTATCAAAACCGTTTAATTTACCAACATTTACGTTATATTTTATAAACCTGCATCGGGTTTTATTAAACTACAAACTTCCGAAATCCCTATAGTTTGTAGTTCCAAACCGGAGGCAGCTATGACTTACAATTCCGTGGGCGCTGGGCGACACTACGGCCACCCACCGAATGCTTTCAATACACTGTTAGTGTAATCGTTAAAAAAGTTGCTTAATTAAGGGAAAAAAGGAAATTCCAACTATTTAGACAACATATTCAACATATTAACAGGCACATAATAACTTAGAGGTAATTAGAGGATAATGAGTTAGAGGTTGACAAATAAAATACGTAAATGTAGCATGGCAAGAGTTAAGACAGTATTATTAGATATTGACAATGATAGTGATTAATGATGACATGGAGGCTAAAAGAAAGACATGTTAGTGAAATTTTAAACCTATATAAACAAAGGACAGGTTTAGTAGGCATCAATAAATCTTCATTAGTATTGTACTTTTGATAGTGCAGAATATTATACTGTATAAATTACCGAAATATATAGAGCCATGTGAGTGTAATTTCTCATGTCAAAAATATAAATTAAGTAAAATCGTATAGTGCACTTTATGTAGTGTTAAAGTTAATAAATTATTTAAAAAATAGTTTGTCTTTACCTGGATTAAATTTCTATGGCTGTTTAGATGTATCAGAGGATAAGTTATGGTTTTCCTAATTATATTGTCATACATATGTAATAAAACAAAACAGCAAAATGCAAATTTATTTACTTATTTTACCATTACTTATGTATTGAATAGATACTCAGATCATTATGTACAAAACTTTCATTCACAATACAGTATAACAGTTTTAAACAGATCTGTATTTAAAACCTGGATTTTTTCACATCCCATCTGTAATTGCAAATTATCATCTTATTGAATTTTTTTATAAATCAAATACTGTATACTTTTTCTTTTTTTATACATGATACAAAATTTAAAAATATAATTATGAATAAGATTTTTTGACAGAACAGTAGAAATGCTTGAAAATGGTAAAACTACCTGGAAGAAGTTGTTTATCTATTTGATTAGTATCAAATAGATAAACCAACTTCTCGCCGTAGTGTGACTCTAACGCCAGCTATCGGCAACTTGACTGTGCTTTAGAGCAGGGATCGGCAAACTTTTTTAGGAAAGGGCCAGATCGTAAAAAAATCAGGTTCGGCGGATCAGGTTGAAAACTCGAATAGGTATATTTTTTTAATAGGTGCTTCTACTTATAAAGCAAAAACAAAACAAAAAAGCTTATTTTCTATTAAGAAGTGATAGCATCTATCGGCCATTGCGTTGCGGAGCGAAATGGGAATGCCGCCGCGCCAAACAGCTTCGACAGTGGCGCATTCTGTAATTAGTTTGCGAAAGGTTATAAACATTAGATAATCACTATTAGTTAATTACAAAAATGAATAAACAAAAGGAAAATACTAAAAAATACAAACAATTTAACAATATTTAATGAAATTAAACAATAAAAAGCAGAACGGCTATAAAAAAAAAACTTATGCAATTTGATAACACCGTAATCCTTAAGACAATGGTGCCATCTGAGATAAGACTGGCCGCGCCATTCCTATCTGATTTACGTGCAATTTTTCCATATAAATACAATACTAATTCGCGGGCAGTAGTTTGCTGACCCCTGCTTTAGAGCATAGCGCAAGGAGTTGCCGGATGGCCGAGAGGTCAAGGTGGCAGCCTACCGCTTTGGGGGACCCGGGTTCGAATCCGAACAGGTCGAAAAATCCTCAGGAATATTTCGGGGGTGGTCCGTTTGGATATGTCGGGCCCCGTCCCTCACCACACGGCAGCCCCATTGTGGGCCTGGCCGAACCCATAATGGGCTTGCAAAAAGAGACTCTCTTAGTGCCCACAGGGCGGAAAGAGTAAAAAAAAAAAATGCATAGCGCAAGGACCCTCCTTGGCAAGGACCAGTATATGTATCGATTCTGGTTATAACCACGAATCACAAAACATTAAAAATAGATTTTTTTACATTTAGAAAAAAAATTATTAGACATAATAATAATAATAATATATTAATAAAAATGCACTTTTATTATATAAAAGTGTATTTTTATAATAATAATTATTATTATTATAAAAATACATCAACCTGTCGAACATTAGGTGGCGTTAGAAACGTAATGGAAGATGATTTCTTATCTTTGCAGAAATATCTCTAAAAATCTTATTAAAAGTAACCTTAAATTACAAATTAGAAAAAGTCATGCGCAGTAAGTTGTCTTTTACCATTTTATGCAACTAATTAAATTGCAAAAATAAAATGGGAATCGAATGACATTGAATAATTTGAAGGGTAAACTAAGCATTTGTTAATTTCGTAGATGGACATATCGAGCTCCTCAACCTCCTCCTGAAAAGAAATTTGAGATTTTAGCAGAGGTTGTCGGAGGATTGGCTTGGTGGTGGATTCTCTGGCATTTATGGCACGATTGGGGTCATATTGTAGTAAGTGTGTTTAATTTATAGTTGCCTACAAACATTCTTGACGTATACAGTATTTGACATATATGATCGATACTAAGTGGTGCAACATGCTCTAATAAAACTGATATATAAGATTTTCCACAAAGTATCTATGTATGCTAATTAAAAGTTACCTTCTGCTCCCCTCAGTTTTCTGCATAAACTTTAATTTCTCTATCCACAAAAAACCTTTATATATCAGTGTTGTGTCCGTTACAATATCCACTAACATTTTCGACCTCTACCGAGGTCTTCTTGTTGATATTGTAACGGACACAGCACTGATATATAAAGGTTTTTTTGTGGATAGTTATTACTCAACACAATGTTACAGTTAGAAGTCGTATTGTGCTTTAATTTCTCCTTTTCCTTTGACATCATCTTTCCTTTAATAACTGTAAACCATTAAAACAACATCTAATAACTGTTTTTAGATGTTAGAACTTCAATAAGATAACGTTAAGAAATTTTCTTTTTGCAATGCCACAAAATAAATTATATATTGTTACATCTGGACTTTGAGGAGGCTGCACTGTATTGGATACTTGTTCAATTCAATGTCTGCAGAGTTTGTCATCCTAATAGTCATTAACTGGGAAACTAGATCACATTCTCTTGCCTGCATAAAAACTTTATGGCCACTGTATATGGATTAAAAGAATTTTTTCAGAGAATGACTAAATGGACTTGTAAAAACTTGATATTTCGTGGCTATGTTTGACCTAATTGGAAATGTTATAAGAAAATTATTTGAGCAAAATGTCTTACAAATGGTTAATCCTGAACCTGTCATAACTTTTGATTTTTTACTCCCATAATGATACACAATCTCTGTAGGTTATTGATGACCAAAATAACAAATAAAAATTTATCTATTGTAGCTTTGAATTAGTGTTTAAAAAATGAATGAATTTTATTTAATTAATAAGCAAATTTAGTCATAACTTTATTTGATTTTGAAATTTATAATAAACATTCAGATCCTGTAAATAGAACTTGTATTATTTAGATTATACACATGAATATTTATCTATTTGTTGTGAAATATACTGGAAATAAAGATATTTTCAGGCTTACCAATAAAAAATAAAACATATTGTTTAAGCGTTTAAGAAATTGAATATAAATTAATATGTCTTGTCTAAAAACACATTGATGAAAAGAAGTTTGTTGATAAATTAACCCAATAATAACCTATAAAATTTATTTATATATTTCATTTATTTCAGAAACCATTTTTCTAATACTTTTATTTCTTATAATCAGGACTGTGGAGTTGGTAGACCAAGCTCCCAACTTCAACTCATAGAATTTTAGGAAGTAATTTCAATTCCTCCTTCTAAATAATAATTTTAAAAATGCTTTGATTATATTAAACCAGAATTGTATTTCATCACCATCAAATGAATCATCAGGCTACTTTTTAAGCATTTTTTAGTGAATCATTAGGCATTCCTATCAAAATTGAAAAACACTTCTTTTTTCCACAGAGTTTTTGTTTAACACCAGTAATATCTTCATCTTCAAAATATTTTCCTCTATCTGTGTTATAAGTATTCAAAAACACTAGATTTAACCAAAGTCTTCTTAGCCATTTTATATGGATCTTTCGATAAAAATTTACAATTAGCTAATACAGAATGTATTTGAATATAAATTTCTATAAAGAAAATCGACAGTAATTTCAACAGTAGTGATATGCAAAGAAAGATCATGAAATAGGGGAATCATCATAAAATAAGATATTATATTACAGAAGGCTCTTATAAGGCAGGCTAGGTGGTTAACACTGCTGTTAGAAGGATAATAAAAAGTACAGTAGACCCAGTGGTGATATTCAGTGGGTTCGCACAGGTTCGGCTGAACCCGTTGTTAACATTTTCAATGTTTTCTGAACCTTGTTAAACACACGAAACATTTCTCAGTGGTTTTGTTTCTTTTAAAAAATATATTAAAATATACATATTATACTCTGTAACACTACTAAACTAGAGCCTTATACCCCGTTCGCCTTGGTGCGACCTCCCTTGACCATTTCAATCTCGACTGAAGTGAGGGTCAATCACGATCGACTCAAGAGAGTCCTTGAAACTAGAACCAGTCATAAGAGAGATCCCACAATCCCACGTGTGCGAGAAAGTACGAGATGGCTGAGTAACATGTGTCGGGCTATTGACAGCAAAATAAAAAAGATATTGTATTTCGAGAGACGATGACATCTGTCTATTATTAGATATATCGCAAAAAAAGTATTGTATTTATTTCTAAGCAAAACTTCTATTTTGTTTGTCTGTGTTCGTGACTTATTGCGTAGTTATGTCAGTTTTACGTCGCAAGTAATATCCGGGTTCTTCTCAAGTTGACTGTGCACAGGCAGTCAGTCAACTCGAGAAAAAAATTGTTAAGGAAAAATTTTCTGTTAAAGAACCCTTTGTTAAATATTTTGAATATCACCACTGAGTAGACCCCCTATAAAATGGGTTCATATAATATGGATTCATATATAATGGCGAAAAAATTGCGATCCTATTCATATAAACACGCTAAAAGAGACTTATGATACGGTAAAAGTCATTGCCGACTCGTGTCGCAACAGGATTGGTTGAATCTAGACCAATAGCGGATATTGCACAAACTGTTGAGTTTAAATGAGCAGCGGACCTATGAAAACCCATTTATTATTTAACGTCCATAAAAATTATATTTATATTAATGATGTCTCCAAAGTTCAGCAAATTTTTCACAGAAAAATAATTTATCAGGAAACACGCAACGAAAACAAGCTTAAGCAATGGTGTCATCGAACGGTGCACACTCAGTAAGTAATCCTACAATTTTTTGTTTATAGCATAGTTTATATGGATTATTCCCAAAAAATTATACATGTTTTGGAAATGTTGAGTGAAATTAGTCTAGAATCGATTAATTTTATGGAAGAAAACCTTTCAAACAGCTGTTGTCCATAAACTGCAAATTATACGTGCCGGGCTGTGATTGGCTCATGTGTTTAAGGACTTGTACAACGTGAATTTCAACTCGTACAACATGAATTTCATAAAACACAGAACATATCTACCGTGTTATAGGGGGTCTACTGTACTTTATGAAAAATTCAGCAACAAATTGCTTAATTTTCCCAGCAACATTTGGTGGCACTATCTGTTATCATAGTTTATTTCAAATCCTTTTTATATTTCTAACTGTTATAAGATGGCAAAAAGCTTAATTTTCAGTGTAGAGATGGGTTTCATAAAAAATTGTGAATGCTAATAATGAGTAAAATTGTCATTAAGTCTGATCCTACTGGAGATATTCATGACCACCTTTTATCACCTCACCCTCTCGATCTTTAATCACCAAAATTTAATAGCATTAGTGTCCATAATAAACAAACCTACCTGCAAAATTTCAGAAATTTTTGACAAAAAGCGCAGGAGTTATTAAGCTTCAAACAGAGTGAACAAAATGCCCCACACATGCACAAACATCCATATATACAGAAAAACCCCCCCAAATTTTTTTTGCATTTCTTGACAGTTCAAGGTGTCCTGAGTTCAAAAATTAAAAATCTTGGGAGAGGTTATTTTTTTGACCAGTTGCCATACTTTCCCTCTTTTATATACAAGTAAAAAAGCCAGGAAAGTAAAAATGGGCATTGGACTTTGTCTATTTTTACTGACTTTACTTCCTACACTAATGAATTTGCTTCCAACTCCAACTTCACAGTCATGCTTAGAAGTTCTAAAATTTTATATCAGTTTAGTAGGAGTATCATGCAAATTGTAATGGCTTTCTATCTAATAATAAAGTTAAAATAGTAAAAATTTAAAAAAAAAAAAATGTATTAAGATTTTACAGATATTACAGTTAAAACATTTAACTAATGTGCAAAATTACATGTTCAAATCTCACTCTAAATACGGATTGGATTTAAATGATGCGGGAATGAATTATAATTCATTTTATTTAAATAATCTTATAATTAATACAATTTATGAATGATTGTTATAAAAAAATTTATTAGGAAATTTCTGATACCTAGAATAAAAAAACAACAAAATTGCAGACTTTAATTGGAAATAATGCCAATCAGTTAGTTAATCATTAGTTAATCATTTGGCTTTGAGATGTTTATATATATATAAACATTATATAGGGAAATAACTTAAGCTATAAAGAATGAAGCAGCAGTTTACATATTTTTCTTTTATAGTAAGACCTATAAAAACTGGAATTGCAAGGAACTGAATATTTTTCTCTTTATGAACAGATTTTTTTTAAAAACATGAAAAGTCACTCCATTCTTAAAGAATTTTTCCATTTAGGCAAGTTTCTGTTTTCAGATTCTGTTTTGGACAGACTTTACTGTATTTTATAGGAAATATTTACATCGGTATTAGATATTACTACTATTTTCTTCAAATACTTTGGTGTTTCTTGTACATAATACTTTTTGAATGTGTAGAAGATAATGTCAAAATGATTGATTTGGATTGCTGATTATAGAAAGCTACTGCAGACCAGTGGCATAGCATAGTGGGGCGGCAGGGGATACCCACCCCGGTCAGCACTTTTAGGGGGCGGCAAAATTTCATAATAAATAATAATAATATCTTGTAAAAATTTGAACCATTTCATTTCATATTTTTGTTGCACCTATGATTCGGACCAATTGAAATGAGAACAGAATTTTTCATTACTTATTCTGTGACGAAACTGAATTTTACTCTTTTAAATTCTTCTTCTTCTTCTTGGTGCCATATCAGATTCCTGACGTCGGCGACACCTGGTGTAGGTTAGTAACCCGCCAAGGTGTATACTAGGGAAGGTTGCTACCCAGAGTGGTTTCCCGTTGCCTTCTCTGGGGCGTGCGGTNTCTTTAATCTTCTAATTTGAAAAATTAGTTGCTAAGCTTGTCCCAGAAAACTTGATTAAATGTGAATGATATTCATTTTAAAAACATTATTTAGTCTTTACTTCCATATGAATACAATACTTCTTGTTATTGAAATGCATTTTATAATCTTGTATATTTAACTTATTGCATTATTCTTTGTGTTAAAAGTTGGCCAAGTGATTGTAAAGTAAGGTAGTTAGCCTACCATTATGATAGATCTGGATTTAAATTTGATCCAGAAGTCCATAATTTATCATGGATAGTAAAGGTTGAGGTTTTAATGTAATGCATTAAAAGCAGTACATGGTCCTGCTTTTAATGCATAAAATTGTGACTAGTTATATAAGTTTAATGTGCTGCTATCTTGTTTTGATTAATCAGTTGTGTAAAAATAAATTTCATAAAATGAATATTTTATGCAATTTTGTATGTTATATATAGTAGATGTGTTTTAACATGCTTTCTTACATAAATTTTTTTCTTTTTAACAGGGTGAATTTCCTTATCCAGATCCCAGTAAGTGGACTGATGAAGAATTAGGAATACTACCTGAGGACGAAAATTAAAATACTTAAATGTAGGAACATTGTGTAGATATTTCTTTTAGGAAAAAGAAATGTATAGAAATTAACATAATTAAAATTTCTAGATTAAATATTTAAGTTTTTAGCATTAATTTTTCTTAAAATAAATTTATCTCAAAACAGAACAAATATGAATTTTAATTATAAATTCTTCAAATTGTAATTTAAGACATATATTTTTTTTTCTGCTGATAAAATATATTCTATTGTACAGCAGTGGCGTGCTGTCATTGGAAGCGGTGGATGCGCCGCTTCCCTTGTATTTGCTAAAAAATAAATACATATTAATTTTAATTATATGAAAATAATCGCGCAATATTTTATTACAGCCGCATTATGTATATTATTACAAATTTCTATACTACACGTGAAAAAAAAGATAAGATTGCTATTGTATATTCGAATATTAGTGGCGGAGTGGAAGCGCTGTATTGTCACCATCCAAAAAGCCAGATTCGCGCACGCGCTTTACAGAGCACCAACCTCACCCGGTTTAGCCGGTGGAAGCCTCGGACCTCGGGTGGATGCTACACGTATACCGCATCCAATTCTATCCGGGACCGGTTCTGGGCTGTTAGCCGCCCGCCCGCTAGATATTTGGCCATCCTCGCCCGATTACGCGAATCACGAGTAGATTTATAACTTAACCCAACCGATAAGAATTTACTGGTATGTTTTTACGATAGTTCTGTATAGTTGACAGGAGCTTTAAAAATCCATTAAAATATTTGATATTTTTATTCTGCTCTCCAATCTTATATTACTCACAAATTTCAATGTTAAACCAGTGATATTACGATTTCGTATGTCCCATCTTTAAGGGGATGTAGAAAAAAACGTGTACAATTCTTGTATAATGTTAAAAAATTAACTGTTACTTTGGTAGCATAATTTACAACTAAATTTAATGAATGAGAGAGATGCACGAGGTACGGAAATAGCTCTAGAATTTATTTTCCTTACATTTACGATTTATGTATCTGTTCGTCATAAAAAATTTGTCTTTCCACTTTTTTCTCGAGACTACAAATATTCGAGTACAAAGTAACCGGTTTCGACTTATTTCTACTTAAGAAGTAGTTAAATAATTAAGCAATTAGGGAATTGGGGGGACACATTAAACCCTGACAAAAGAGCCGAAATTTTACTTAAACAAAAGCTTAACCGAACCCATACAGTGCCGAAGCGAGCCGAGTACTGATTTCTTCGAAATATTAAATGTAATAAATACAGACATTTTTCCAGTTCGACGAGAGTGACCGAAAAGTTGTAAATTTTGGAAATTTCCGTGGACCCTGGTCCTAAAACGAATTAGTTAGGAAACAAACGACGGACAATCTATTAGGTTTAACATATTTAGATTTTTACAGCTATGGTGAGAAACGTTTAAAATCTATAACAGCCCTGTCGCGTCCTTTGAGACATACTAGTGATGCGACAAAAGAGGCATTTAACATTGACCGGTATTGGCACCCTGGGGATTTGGCAGTTCGCGTGTATTCACACTTTGCAACCGTCTTCGATTCCGTCCATTAGCCACTCGTAGGGAGCTATTTGACTAAGTGCATTGTTAAGATTTAAAAAGTAAACAATATATTTTATATTTTTATGTACGTTTCTTTACAAAGCTTTATTTAATTATAATTTTCTTTAAAACTATATTCATACAATTGAAGAATATTTTGTACCAGGTATGTACCGGTACATCCACCACACATTTTATTTCACCAAGTTTTTATTATTTTATTTTTAATTGTGGTTCTTAGCTCTATATCGTGGTTAGCAATTTGGAATGTAATTGTGATATTAAAAATGCATTTAGAGAAGTCTACGGTTTTTACTAGCTTATCGAATAAATGATACGAATGGACCCTAGACCATCACTGACGCGCAATTGACTGATTGTTCCTGGATGTCGGCTTCTTACACAAACACAGCTTCCCTATCATCAAATGTCACGGCACACCACTGAAATGCATAAAATTTCGGACCTTAGTTACAAAAATCCAAGATAGCATAAATGAAGTCCTCTATTAAATAGGACGTTAGTACATTCGATATATCCTGAAGTAGTGATCCTGTAGAGTGCATTTAGCTAAAAATTAGTCAATTGCTCCAGAGCTGGATACAGCCATTTTATTCCAGAAGAGCAATTTAGTTTTTTTTCCACTGACCTTCCAAATGTATTATCACGGCCATATAAAAAACATTCCGTTCATCTTGCAACAATTCTGTAAGACAGGGCTTGGGTTCCACATGGCAAGATAGTTCTCATTTCTGTCTTTAGCGTTTTTACGATGAAAACCCTGAATTTTTATCCTGCTTGTTTGTAAGCATTTTATAATTTAAAAAAAAATACAAATACAAGTTTGCCTTCATTGCTATTTTGGATAATGGTGTCATGTCCGATTATAAGAATGAAATTGATGTTTATTACCGTTTAGAATAACTAGAATTGCCAAAAGTTTATTTTAATGAGAATTAAGATGGCGACATGATTGACAGCATTCGTATTTTCCTGCATATAAAATGATACTTTGAATGTATGAGTGAAAAATTTCAATGGCATAATTTCACATGAAAACTCAAACGTTTTTGTTTTTATATTATTATTAGAATGCATTTTTTAAAACCAAATTAATTATTAATTAACGAGTGCATCTTTCATAATAAATCAATAATTTAACGATGTTTAGTCGTAGAGTACGTATTTAGTCGGCTTTATGTATGCCATCTATCGAGTAAATTATTAATTATTCCTACAGCTTTTGTCAATATTTTATTATTAATTCTTTTTAAATTTTGCAATTATAAAATGAATTAATAATAATGATTATTACTTTTTTTAAACTTTAAATGTGGTAAAAGTAAATGGAAAATACGTATTTTGAATAAATGATGACGTCTTTGATAAATCAGAAAATTGATAAGAAATAGATTAATTTTTTAAAATAGAAGCACGTGACTGAATTTTGAATAGGAATTTATTTAATTAAAAAAACATATGTAAATATATATTAATTTTATTTTATTTGATTATTATTTAAATTTAATAATATATTTTGTGTTTTTATTGAGAAAGATTACATTTTTTTCTCGCATTTTATTATGCATTATATAAAACTTGGAATATTACATAGATTATAACCATCCATGTAAATGTTTTCAGTAGAAGTTAGCTTTAGATCATTTTTCTATATTAGAATAATACACAAATTATCTAAAAGTAACTTCTACTAAACTCAGTTTTTGATAGTGACAAAAAGTTTCTATGAGATTGTCTTGGATTTCTCAATTAGAGAATGTGATTTAATCAAGGGAGATTTATGGGGACTGCATAGAGCACAGCTGCATTCTACCACTCCCTCCCTAATTCCATCCTCAAATATGTCCCCTATACACTACACATCCTGTAAATTTGCTCTTCTGGGGGGGTTTTTTCAAGTAAAGCTGGGTAATTTGGGTAGTAAAAATTTTATAAGGTATATTTTTTCTTTCTTGCACCAATCTCTAAATATTTCTGGATCCACTATTGAACATACTCGATGAACAATTCCTCTCAAAGTCTAGAATCAACATGTAATAGTTATCTTTGGACAAAAATTATGTTCTTATAATAGTCAAAGACCTAAAAACAGCTTTTGGGACTACTTTAATGATGGCTAACTATTAACATGGAAGATGATGATCAGAAGAACATGGAAAAATTAAAATTTATGTCAAGAATGAAAGGGAGCAAACACACTGATAACTTCTAACAGGTGTTGCTGTTTTGACCCCACCCACAATCTGGTGACTCAGTTAAGTCCCAAGTCTGGATTAAAAGAGGGAGAGTTGGTAACAGGAAGAACTTCTAGCTGTAAAATGAAGCCAAATTAAAAAAAAAAACTGACCCCAGGGATAGTGGGACTAAGAGTGCTGAAAAGGAGGGAGGAGGAGTTTGCTTCTTTAGTTATACTATACAGAATCATTATTAAAAAAAAAGCTATTATCTATAAATTATATATAAGTTTAATATTATATTTAATAAAAATACTATAATGTATTTATTTTTAAACTTCAGATAATATATTTTGAATACAGACATGGGAGGAAAAAATACTGGAATTGAATTTGGTAAGAGAACTGTAAATAATTTTAATAGAAAGTAATAAATTTATTAATGGGTATTGAATTATATAAGTAATTAAGTATTTACATAATAAATTCTTTTTCTTAATTGCTTAATTAATTATTAACTGAGAAAAAGAAATTTTTAAAGAATTATGTACTATCAATTTGTGATATAATAGACCAAAAGGGAAGAAATGATAGTCTGATAATTTTGATTGTCAGCTATAAAACAAAGATTATATGAGGACTGATGAGAGACCCAAACAACCTATATATTTAGAGAGACAAATCTCTGTGCTGTTCAGAAACAATAGCAATAGATTCTACTCTTTGTTGCAACAATTTTCTTAATTATAATTAAAATTACACTCTCAATTATATTTGAGTTTATTTATAAAATTCTGTCAATGATGCAGGAATCTTCTATTTAAAAACAAACAAGTTTTCCTAGTTAAAATTATCCATGTAGTCCATGTTAAAACAATCCAGTTAAAGAAAAATGCATTTCTAATGTTCGAATGTATTAAAAAATATCCTGGAGAAACTGAAGAGGAATATTCTAAAAACTTTGGAGGAACATTCCAAATGCATTTTCTTTTAAACAGATTGTTTTAATATGGATTGCACAGATAATTTTAACTAAAAAAACTTGTTTGTTTTTAAAATAGTAGATTCCCACTTCATTGAAATATTATTTTTAATAAATAAACTCAAGTATAATTGAGAGTGTAATTTTAATAGCAATAGATTTCAATACACAAACAGAATTTCATTACGTTCAATGTTGACTCAGGACATTCTTCAATATTTTAATTCTTGAAGTTAGACTATTTACAAAAATATATTAACATTTTCGAGTCTATCATTAAATCCTTTTACACAAACCACAGAAGACACAGTTACATTGGTTAGAAGATAAAACTTCTTTAAAAGACAAATAATAAAAGATAAAAAAAATGTTTTGAACATTGTGAACTTATGCAAATGAAAATGATAGACTCGTAACTACCACTAGAGGGATGAACCAGTTATAAAATTTGGAAAAGGACTTGATAGTTGGTGAGAAGATTCTTATGTTTTTAATGTTAAAAATGTCAGATCCTACAATAAAAGGCTGGCGTTTGATCATTTTTAATTGTGAATTTTTACCTTTTATTATTTGTCTTTTAAAGAAGTTTTATCTTCTAACCAATGTAACTGTGTCTTCTGTGGTTTGTGTAAAAGGATTTAATGATAGACTCGAAAATGTTAATATATTTTTGTAAATACTCTTAACTTCAAGAACAGAATTTCATTATTTTAAATGAAAATTTTTCAAATTAAAGAATTGAATGTGTATTGAATTGGATAGATTAGCAGTTCATCTGTATTTAAACAACTGAGATTGTTTAATTATAGAAAAACTGCCTTGTTTTATGTAATGTTGTGTGCTGACTCTCTTTTTTGTTCTTTTAAATAAACACTTAAAATTACATTTATAAATTTCTTCAGTAATCAGAACTAACAGTAATATTTTATTAAATTCAGTTACTTATAATTAGTCATTCTGAATGGAATTTTTCTTTAAATATTACTGTAATAATAATCACCATAACAAATTCTGAAAATGTAATTTAAAATATTTTAATAATAGTTTGGTGATGAATAATATGTATCAAGACTTTGGCTAATTTAAAATCTTTTTAATATTATCATTCTATTTCATAAAAATATTAAAGTTAAAAATGTCAAAATATAATGTTATGTTTATTTAAAATTGAAAAAGTCTAATATAATTTTTTTATAAAAAATATTGTAGATATCGGTTTAGCTACTAAACCTATTAATCATTTGGCAATAAAGCAACAAGCGCATGCACTTTCTACAAGAAGAACTGTTAAAAAGAATTATGAAGTAAGTGGTGTTTGATTTGTTTGCTTTGTTATAAATTTTTGTATAAATAAAATAATGAAAATGTGTATAATGGAAACAAATTTTATTATTATGATTTAATTGAAATTTTAAATAATTATTTATTATCTAATGTTATTTTGTATAACTTCAGTCTAGGTCCATTGCTACTCTGTAGTGAGTTTTTAGAAAAATCTTTCATATAAGATGAGCATGTGTGGGCTATATTCATTTCTCAGGATTCTTTACTTCATTATGATGCTCCTATCAGCTTTTCTATTCACAAATCTTTTTTTTCATACTGTATTATTGTTTCATTTATTTAAGCTATGCACTATAAAAATAGATATTATGGCACCAATTACTTGTGTATTGAAAAAAACTGCTGATGGATCAGATAATTTAAGAAACAGTAATATAACATCTTATAAAATTGAAAATATAAAATAATTTAGTTTTGCAATAATTATTTTGAATTAATTAACCATGTGTTTGCTGAATTGGATAGATTAGCTGTTCATCTGTATTTAAACAACTGAGATTGTTTAATTATAGAAAAACTGCCTTGTTTTATGGTAATGTTGTGTGCTGACTCTCTTTTTTGTTCTTTTAAATAAACACCTAAAGCTTTTAACTGAGATGTATTATTTAAACTTTTCTGTATTTTGTGATGCTTGATGAAATATACTTATGATTTGATTACATTGTATTAATATTGCTTCATTATCTCATAAATGTAAATTTTTAAACATTTTATTTTACATTAGCAAAGAGCTTTAAATTAAAAATAATGGTTAAAAACATTTAATAAAATGTATATGAATGCTATACAATATGACATCATACAGTTGTGAGGAATCTATGTTCCAGTTATTTACAGTTTATCTTAAGGAAATTAATACCTGACCCAAATTATTATTTTTCACTTATGTTGATCAACATGGGCATTGATCCATACAGGACAGAGGGGACATATCCCCCTAATATTTTTATACCAGCCAGTTTTCCCCAATGTATTTTTATTTTATATAGATAGATACTAGATAGCATACTGCAAAAATTAAAAGTAGAAACAAGTACTGTACACAACAAATACATCTTATTTTGTAATTCTATTCAAAACCCAACAATGAGAAATTTTTCTTACCCATTGTTATTGGCCCATTCCCTCAATATTTACACAGATTGACCCCAATGCTGATCAATCTCATTTATTAAACCTGTCTAGCTTGTGATGAATGTTATTTATCAAAAAATGCAAAGACAAAAATTATATAATTAGTGTTTAAATTATCCTGACCAAATGGAAATTAAAACAGTTTTATGTCTCAGTAAATACTAGATTTCACTGAAATCTAGTATTTACTGATATCCGTATTTATCTGATATCCGTATTTATGTATGATGCATATTATCAAAGTAATTTCAACTTCCACAATAAATTTTATAACTGTAAAATTACGCATTATATAATTACTAAATTGTATGATTACTAAAATTGCTTTATACTGTAGAATTAATATGCAATGTTAAAAATTAATTCAATTATTAAAGTAGGTAATTTTGAAGTAAAGTTAATATTCTATTATAATTTTTTACTTTTTTGATCCTTAAAAGGATGATTTTTATCATATTAATAATAAGCTATAGAGACAAAAAAAGGAGAAATCTGGGTAATGAGGGAATTAGTCCAAAACATTCAAATAAAACTTTCCATGAAAAGTTTTGAAGACTATAGTTTTGATCCAGATTTGAACCAGATTCCTAAAAATAACAGTGTGATACATTTATTGCTTCAGCCATATGGTCATTCTTTTTTCATAAATTAAAAGTATTTATATTTAAACAATACACATATTTTATTGCAATATTATTGTATTCTTAAAAGTTATTGTTTTACTTTATAAAATAGATTGCGTGGCTACTAAAAGCAGTCACATGTATTGATTTGACAACGTTAAATAGTGATGATACTTTTTCCAATGTTCAACGACTCTGTCATAAGGCTGTAAATCCTATTTGTCACAATGTGCTGAAAAAAATTAATATGGATAACAGAAGTAAGTTTTTATAAATACACTGTAATGTATATATGGTATATTTATTTCTGGCCAGAATACATGTAACTATAAAATATTCTATAATTTCATAGAATAAACTTTGTAATTCTAGAACACTCTTTATCAATAACTGCAATGCAAAACAATTCTCATATAAATTGAAGAGCCAAATTTTTCCCCCTGTTTAAATTCTGTTTGAAAACTTTTCATTCTCAATTTGAACTCTAGTGATGCAATGCTGGTGATATTGGGCACTACATACACTTTAATAAATTTATAAAATTATGAGAATTATTTAATTTTAAATTTTTATTTCTAGATTTATACTTTTCACCAAACTTTTAGACACTGTGATCTATTCCAGATACAGAAAACTTTTTTACAATCTAACATCTATATCATACATAATGCAATAAGTTCTAGAAAATTGAAATTTCTTTATTTATTAAGAATTAATTTTTTTCAATGATGATGTGTTATATTATTGCTGTTATGAATTATTTAGTTAGCTCTATGATAGGTGTGTCTATACAAATTATACAAATAATTTTTTTTCTATAACTGTTTATTGTATGTTTGATGCATGATACACTATATCTTGCAATAACATACCTAAAAAAGTTTCATAGTTAGTGAGGCAAAAGTGCAGGTGTTATTTCAAATATTCATTGGATACAAACATTTAAAACTTTGCTTGCATTTGTACCTCACTTATATACAGTACTTTTGTACTTAAATTTATAGTCTAAAATTATTGAATAATTTTTTTATACCATTAGCCCTCTGTATCCAGACTGAAAATATTTTGGAAAAATCCAGAATATTCCAAAAAGCAAAACTTGAATTTGCTTGTATTTTAATTCTATGTTTTATGGTATGTATTCCTCTTTCAGGTCATTAAGCAAAAGGAATCTAAATATTGAAAATGTTACATTGTTGCTGTCATGCACTATACAGTTAGGTCTATGATTGGTGCATTTGTACTAAAGATCATGGATGCATGGTGACACTGGTTAAGGAAGTAGAGGGAATTGATTTGTACAAAATTCACTAGATGGTAATTTTTATATTAGTCAAAATTGAAGACAGTCTGTCAAAATATAACAGTAAAAATAAAAAGGTATTGATAGAGTTTGTCTTTAATTTTTAAATTCTTAAAAATTGGTAATATATTTATATTAATTAATCACCAATTTTTAATTTTCCATCTCTGATAATTTGTTAACCTTTTTGATTTCTCTGTCTGGTTTGTTTTGTTCTTGCTTTTCTTGAATTTTCTTCATTGTTTTGTCCAAATTTGGGAGGGCAATTGCTTCCTTGCTCTCCGATTCATATGCCCATCCTAACAAGTATAGACTTTTTCTTGACAATCTTTCCTAAACAATACAATATAATAACTATTTACATAGTATTTGCATTGTATGCAGTATTATTAATCTGGAGATCAAGAGATCTAATCTTGTTAATTTAGAAATGATTTAAAGTATATAGGAGAATGCAATAGTTTATATGCAAATACTATGCCATTTTATATAAGAGACTTGTGCATACACAGATATTAGTATCCATAAGGGGTCTTGGAATTACTTCCTCATAGATACCACGGTAAGCATGTTATGGGAATAAGATATCTCATTCACATAGCATGCTTACATAAACATACTTCCTATTTTGAATGATATTAACAATTAACCATTATTAAGGTGATTGGCAAAGTAACTGACCAAAATCAATCAATAGATTGTGATAGCTTGTTTGACCATTGCTATGCACAATACCCAATACTATACATATTGAGTATTGTGTGATATAGATTTACATTATATGAACTTATATAAAATGGACCTTGTGTGGGCTTGTCAAGGTTCTTGCACACATACCACTGAAGACTAATAGTTTGAATAAATAGAGTAAATCATTTCATTCTTATTCATGGAAAGGAATGAATTCAAAACTGTGATTTATTCATAAACAGTATTACTAAGTAAATAATACTTAAATTAAAAATTTTATTTTCCTTCTCATTTTAGAAGTATTGAGATTTAAATAGAAAATTGTATGTAATAAATGAAATGAAATTGCTTCAATTTTATTAAAGTATTCAATCTTAAATAAAAATTGTATTCATGTGAATATAATACAATGAAATATAAAATATTCTCTAATTCTCTTTTACCTATTGTAAAATTATTTAATAATTGATCTTATAAAACTTTCTTTATAGATATATCAGTTGCTGCTGTCTGTGTTTATCCTGCAAGAGTACATGATGCTTATGAAACATTTAAATCATTAGGGATAGAAATTCCAATTGCATCAGTTGCAACAGGATTTCCAAGTGGACAATATTTATTAAATACAAGACTAGAAGAAATAAAATCAGCCATAGATAATGGTGCATCAGAAATAGATGTAGTTATTAATCGTTCATATGCACTTACTGGGAATTGGAAAGGTATGTTTGTATTTATAGTCTTTATAAGTGGAATACATACTTTATTTCACATTCTGTCTATTCTTTTTCACCATTTATGCTAAAAGAACACATTATGATACACTAAAACTATCAAAATCTATGGAAATTCCCATTGTAATGACACTGTAATAATATTACATTATACCTAAATAAATTATTAAATTATTGCCTTATGGTTATGACTATATGAATCACTAATAAATAAAAACAATACAATTGCTTTTTTTTTTCTTTAAGTTTTTCATTTATTGAGGATTATTCCTTTTATGTAAAATGAATAGATTATTTCTTAATTATTCTGTTTCCATGATAATTACATACTGCTTTCTTTTTATTTGTATTCATTCTGGAAGATAAATTGTAATTTGCAAATATTCAAACCATATTCGTTTATGACCATATTTGTTAATTGTTTACTCTAAGTAAGGCAAAATTTGATGTATTTTCAGTTAATTCAACATTTCAACTCTTTCAATAATACTTTGGAATAAGAAGTAAAAAAAGTCATGCACACATTTGACATCAAAAATGTTTAAATCCAACGTTAAATGTGTGTTTGGTTTGTATTTAATGGTCTTTGAAGGCTGTTGGATCATCTCATATAATGGTCCAAATTAAATTCCTTCAGTTTAACCAGTCTTTGCATCTTTGAATCAGTTGTAAAAAATGATTATCTACTCGACTGTTTCATTTTATCATGTCATTCTATAACTGTCTTATAACTCTGCAAAATTTTCAAGATTAGTTAAACTATATTCATAAAATTTACTTTTAAGAGTAGTAAAAGTATATTCATAAAATTTTAATCTGAAAATAATTTTATTTATTNTTCATAAAAGAATTCAATGAATTTGATTTTATTAGATTCTTCCATCATATTTTCATTCAATTTTCAATATTTAGAATTGTTTATATGTCAATTATTTTATTTAACAGTTTAATTTTTCAATTTTTGAATATTAAGAATAGAACAAAGTGGAATTATAATAGGAACAACTAATAGTAGAACAAAGTAATAAGAACAACTGATAATAGCTTTCCAAAAAAAAGAATACCTGACATAAATCACTATTGAATTTGGTAAAAGACTAAATAAAAGTTTAAGTTTGATACTGGGTTTGGTTGATTTTCTGGAAAAACATTATCAGAAAAATATTCATAGTTAGAAGACATGCACAATTAAGTAAATTGAAGTCTTTACAATTTGTCCAATTTTAATACCTTAAGAACACAAAAATACATATCAGAACCAATATCTTTTAAGGTTTTTTCCTATCTACACGTGTGAATTTGGTAAAAAAAATCTTTCTGGCATTGCATAAAATGTAAAAAGTTAAACTTTTTTGTAACTTCCATCTGGTTTACTATCAAACAACTATTGTAAATTATTATTGTTTACTAGGATGGATATTAATAGGACTTATTATACTGGTATAATTGAGAAGATACAAAGATAATTTGTATTGCAAATAATTTACAATAGTATTAAGGACATAGAAGCATAATTAATTACAAAAAACTATTTTTATTAGCAGACATACACAAATTATTTGCCCTTTTAAAAAATGCTATTAGCAGTTGTTCCTTTTATATTACTAATATAATTTATTAGTTTCTGAGTCAAGTCAAAAAGTTTGAATTTATTTTATTTATTCATTTTTTAGATTGTTTGAGTCTTCTGAAAATGCAATGACTTATTTTAAGATGTATTTTATTATATGAGCAAATATTTTAGGCAATTTCAATTACTTTGTTCACATTCTATCGTTCTAATTGAATTGCTGTAGTATAAGAATAAGTTCAAAAAAGTTTTAAACTTTTTTTATATTGAAACAATAGAATTTGAAGATGATTGAAATTGCTTAAAATATTAATTTTTATAATAAATGCATTTTATAAGAAAAATCTGAATTTATTTTTACATTGACTGACTCTTAAGAAAAAATATAAAAGATTTTTTTTTTTATAAATTATTTTAGGAATTTATAATGAGATTAAACTAATGAAAAATGCTTGTGGAGATGCTCATTTAAAGACAATTCTTGCTACAGGAGAACTGGGAACTTTTTCAAATATATATATTGCAAGTATGACTTGTATGATGGCTGGTAAGTTTTTAATAGATTTAAAATAAATTTTGTACTTGTTAGAATTTTTATAATTACAGAAGTATAATTTTTCAAATTAATTCCTACAATCATCTTATTGTGAGAGAGTTTATTTTTTTATAATGATTTTAGTCTCATCAAATAATGTGTATTATTGATATTGTACTATTATATAGTGATTTTTCACAAAATTTCATATTGAGTTTCAAATATTTAGGTAGACAATCTTGCAAATTTGTATTTTGTAAACATTATTCTCTATCTAATATTAGGTATTTTTCACTTTATCTGAACTAATTTCAGAGATAAAATATTTTTAAATTAAAGAATAATTTTTGACGAAATGAGAATGAAATGCAAAAAGTCTTTAAATGTTTTTGGTCTGTTACAATGTACAGCTATAAATGTTGATATGCTATAATAGTTGATAACATAAATGTATGAAGATTAAAAAATAAACTTTGTATATATTTATATAGTTGACTTGTCCAAGGTTACTCTCTGTAAAGTCATGCTTTGTCTTAAACTGGCTAGTCCCATTTTTTTATTAATCAATTTTACTAAAATCACACCTCTGAAAAGTATAAAGTTGCATTTACTTGCTATTCCAGTGTATAATATACAATGCTATATAGTCACACTTGATGACACCACCAGTCATCATGAAATGGATTAGCTTTAGTTTTATTTTGAAGAACATAAGGATTGTCTTAGTATGACTATAAATATATTTTTAGCATTTTATTTATAAAACATCTTTGTAACTAATGTTATTAGCCTACTACACTTTAGATATAGGAAAGAAAGATTTAATGCTCAAAAGCAAAAGGCTCTATCTCCATTCTACAATATTCTGCACGAAAAACGTTTTTCATGCAACCATATAGAACATTTTTCGTACAATATTGGACGGTATTGATAAAGGATACAAAATTAGGCTTCATGCTTAGTGTTCTTTAATAGATATATACTTGCACTTGCATGCACTTTCCAAATTGCACATTTATCTTTTAATCTATAAATGTGCAACTTGATTTTCAGTTGTTTTGAAGATAGAGCTTTTTGCTTTTGGGTAGCACAGATGAAAAACATATTGCGTACATATGAAATTCAGCAATGAGTTTCCTAACTTTCTCAGCAACAACAATTAAAACATTATGTAGTGCCATCTGTTATACAGTAGAGCGTCGTTTATCCGAATCAGTTGGGGACTGGGTTGTTCGGATAACTTATTTTTCGGATAACCGATTATGTACGAAAAAATACATTAACCTATCCCATCCTGAAATTTTTCTCCGTTGCGTGAATTTTCGTCAATGTTAAGCCTAACGTAAACTTTTTAAAATAATAATCGTGGCTATTGTATCGTTAAAAATTATTTCTTTATTTTGTACAAACAAAATAAATATATTGAAAAATATAAAAACAATAAAAAATAATACTTCAGAAGTTAATTTAGTATCAAAAACGTAAAATATTTGAGTAGCCCAAGACATTGCCAAAGATTGCAGCACCAAATTTAAATGTGCCAACTGGAATTCTTTCAGATAAACGATGCTCTACTGTATTTTATTTTAAACACTTTTTATATAGTTAATTATTATAAAATGACAAAAGGATGAATTTTGAGATAGGGATGAGTTTTATAAAAAATTGTAAATGCTAAATAATAAATAAATGAAGATTTATTTATTATTTATTTAAGTCCAACCCTACTTGAGATATGATATATGACTCCCCTCTATCTCCCATTGACATTTCTCTATATCCCTTGACATTTAACCACCAAAATTTAATAGCATCAATTCCCCTAATGTACAAACCTCCCTACAAAAGATACAGGAATTATTAAGCTTCAAAGTAGGTGAACAAAATCATGCCCCCCTCCAGACACACACACAAAGAAAAAACTTCCAAATTTTTTGCACTTCTTGATCTTTCAAAGTCCTCCAAATCCAAAAATGTTAAAATCTTGGGATCATTGATCAATTGCTATACTTTTTCTCTGTTATATAATACAATAACAAAAGTAATATTGTTATCTTAGGATCAAAAAAGATTACTTTAGCAGAAGCATAGGTCTGAATTGCATCTCAATCACAAAGAACTTGCAGTTTGAACAGTCAAAGAATTTAAATTCTCAGCTTTTTTCTATCTTTCTATATGAAGTTTGAAACAATTTATTGATGATTTAAAAATAAGCAGCTTGCATCTCAGGATAGTTTTAGAAAGATGAAAGTTTAACAATTACTTGTAACTATTACATTTTCATTTTTCTAAAACAATTAATTAGTTTATAATTAAATTAATTAACTAGTAAGTCACTAATTAATTAATTTAACAATTAATTAGTGACTTAATGATCACTGAAAAGAGGGAAAACTTATCAAGTAAACTGAACATCAAAGCATAACGTTTTCTCATGATGGCTTCATAGTTTTAAGCAACATCATCACTTAAACAATTAAACTGCATCTGCATCTAATTCTAATATTGATAATTATAAGGAAGGATAAATTATGAGAAGTAACATAAATAGATCTTAAGCTATAAATCAGAAGTTGTTTATAATTTTGAATTGATGAAAGCACAAAAAATATTAATTTCCAGCAGCAATCAAAAGATTAGAGGATTATGGTAAAAATGTTTTATCTTTAAGTATAATTAAAAATAATCGCACTTCATAAATTAAAGAAAACATATATATTAATTTTTTTTAAATAAACAGATTTTCTTTTATTTGTTATTTAACTAAATTTAATTTTACATAATTTAATGCTTTTTAAATTTCATTAAATATTTGAAATTTTTAAAAATATCAATTTTTTTCTACAAAATTTTTTTATACCTCAAAAGTTTCAGTTCAAAAGTTTTGAGTTTTGACTTGAGACAGGTCTGACTATATATTAGTTGAAAATTCTTTTGGATTGAAAAATAAAATAATTAACATTTAGTATGACAGAAGAAAATTATAAATAAGTATTTTACAATTAAAGTTCTCATTTAGTGTCTTTTCAAAAATTTAAATAATGTTTGAATATTTAAAGACAAATAGAGGAACAATTTATATTTTTAAACCTATTCAGAATAAACAATAATTACTGAATAAATGTTCCCAAAGCTCATATATATTTAGTCATAAACTTTTTACTGTATTGTTTGCATAGTTAAATGTGCTACAAAAGTTTTTAAAATTTTTGTTCTTCATCCTAAAGATGTTAGAAGTGAAACTTAATGAAAGCATTTGGTCAATAGTATGTTATATTATAAAACCTCATCAATGCCTGAAGGCAGTTTTTTTATTTGCATGAAATTTTGGTTATTTGCATGAAATTTATTTTATATAAACTTTTATTGTTTGACTTATATTTTTAGCTTGAGAGATTTTTATCTGCTTGAATTTTTACACAGGAACACATATATTTACATCTTTTGTACTCTTGGGTAAATTTCAATTTTAATCTATATCTTTCATACAAGTTTTTTCTTAAATATCATAATTTTTTAGTTACATAGCATAAATGAAAGATATTTTTTATACATTATATAACTGTTATTAAATCTGTTTATTATTAAATTATATATGCACGGATAAACCTATTCAGTTTTTATTTATTTAGTCATTGTTTATTTAAGTTTGTATGAGAGAATGAGTAAAAATTACCTAGACTATGATTATTCCATATGCATTTATTCATAAGTATACAAAGTATTTTTCTACACATACCAGAACAAATCTTATGTACTGTACATGGCAAGGAGAGGAAGGAAAAACTGGGTAGCCACAGAATTCCTATCTGTACAAAAGCTCAAGCCAGAATGTATATAATAAAAATTTTAATTATAAGGACTAGAAAATAAATTTGTATAATTGCAAGTGTATAGTGGAATAAAAAATAAATAAATAAACTGAGAATGCAATGTCAGAAACTAGAGTAATCTGGAAGACCATAGTGCAGGGTTTGTGATTGTATATAGATAGGGCAAGGACAGCAAACAGTCAAATCTTGTTAAAGCTCTCTGCATAATATCATTATTATAAAGTGCTAATGAATACTCATAAATGGATCTTCTTAAATATTATGTATATATGCACATTGCATGGATATATTGCTTATAGAAAAAAATCAATGAAATATTAGGAAGAATATTACTGTTTTGTTTGTCAGTGTAATGATTGCATTTGATAAAAATTAACAAATAAATAAAATACCTCAACATGCTAAAAGTATTTGTATATAGTTGTTTTGTTGTAGATATTCAGATTGTATACTGCAATTAAAACATAATCTAATAAAATGTCAATCAATTTTATCATAAGACTAGCAGATCCCGCCACTAGCAGACTAGCAGATCCCGCCTTGTTGTGGCTCAAAATGTATCTATTATAAATGTATAACACTTCCCCAGTGGGGGAAAATTTTTCGAAAAAGTTTTTCTTAGTGTACATTCTGTTGACGTACCCTATTAAAACGCAATCAAAAACTCAAAAACCCACATCTAAAATAGTATAATAGAAGCCAAGTTTTTCAGAGTAAGCCTTAATCCTGTCTCTCTCCCTCGCGGGGAGAATATCAAAAAATCCCTTCTTAGTGTACATTCTGTTGATGTATCCTATTAAAATGCAATCAAAAACGCAAAAACCCGCATCTAAAATAGTATAATAGAAGCCAAGTTTTTCAGAGTAAGCCTTAATCCTGTCTCTCTCCCCCGCAAGGGGAATATCGAAAAATCCCTTCTTAGTGTATATTCTGTTGACGTACTCTATTAAAACGCAATCAAAAATGGAAAAAACTGCATCTAAAATGGTATAAATAGAAGCAGAGTTCTTTACGGTAACCTTTTCCGTAAGGCTTACNTAAATAATTTTTAATGCTAAAATATTTATTTTTATCTAAAAAAATGACACAATTTCTGACACATTTTTATTAAAAAACAAAGCAAAATTGTGTCTGTAAGTTATGACATTTCGTTGATTATTCTCATAAACATGACGATATATTTTTTACAGGCACTTTTGCCCTCTTAGAATCCAAAAAAT